ACAACCCACAGCAAACATGTAAATCTGACTCTGGCAACATTCAAACATTACTCCAATGCAACACTGACTTCATTAAGTTGAGAAACGCACTCAAAGTGAAGTGAAAAAACGTTAGTATAAGGGGGGCATGTATGAAAGTCATTACAGCAAACAAATAGTAGTGAGGATGTACATTTTATTATTTGTTTGAACTAAAGTAAAATTCTGTGATAAAATCTGTGAAATTTAATTGGCAAAAACCAGCAATTCCAATGGGATCCTGCCATGGAATAAAAAAAAATTGGTAATTGCGACTTTTTATCTCACAATTGATGTAAACTTAATATATAAACTTCGAATTTTTTTTATTCTGACATCTTGTAATTCTGTTTTATTTTTTTAACCATGAATATATATTGCGCCTTTTTTTATCTTGTAATTGCAAGTTTAAATCTCACAATTCTTTTGAACAAAAGAAGTTGTATAGTGTCTTTAAAAAGTGGATTGGCAAAAGACAGTGGACCTTTTGAGCCTGTGAAATTTCACTATGTGACGGCACATAATTCATAAATTCAGATTTATTCATACCAACTGTAGATTTTGACTCCTCTGTGACAGAAAGCTGGAAGACACACAAACAACTGAAATAAGTGAAGAAATCAAAAATGAAATACATTTATGTTCACAACCCCATATTCCTTTAATGAAGGCAGCTCATCAGTTTACTCTATCATTATAATTGTATGACTTCACAAGAGATGCTAACAAACTGTCTGAAATGTCACGAATGATGAGGCAGTCAAAATCCTGACAACAAAATCTGCTGCAGCTCTGTTTGTTAGGGATGCACACAGATCATTAGAGGTTGGAGGATGGAGGTCTTTTAATGCCATTGAAGCGTAGGGACAGTTTGTTCCCTTCACACCCCTTCATTAGCCCAGTGTGCCCTCATTTCTGCATCAATTGTCCCTATGGTTTGGCACAACGTCATGGATAGATGAGGTCATATTGCACTCATTTTAACACAAATGTATTGTAAAGAGAGCCAAATTATGCTAGGGTTTAATGTTTTTTAAAGAAGGCTGTTCACCAAAGCTACATTTATTCGATCAAAAGTAAAGTAAAAACAGTCATACTGTGAAATACTATTACAATTTTAAAAAGTGTTTTCTATTTTAATAATTATTCCTGCGATGCAAAGCTGAATTTTCAGCATCATTAGTCTTCAGTGTCACATGATCCTTTAGAAATCATTCTAATATGCTGATTTGCTGCTCAAGAAACATTTATTATTATTATCAATGCTGAAAAGAGTTGTGCTTCTTAATATTATTTTTTTTGCTGAATATAAAGTAAAAATATATATATATTTTTTTAGAAATCTTTTGTTTTAAATATCTTTACTCTCACTTTGGATCAATTTTATGAATCCTTGCTTATATTGAAAAAGTGGTTAAAGGGTTAGTTCACCCAAAAAGGAAAATTAGCCCATAAATTACTCTCGTCATCCTAGGTGTATATGACTTTCTTCTTTCAGACAAATCTAGTTGGAGTTATATTAAAAATTGTCTTTGATCTTTCAAGCTCTATCGTTGTACTCAGCGGGTGAAAAGTCAAGTTATGTCTGGGATAAACTTTAATATCATTTGTTTGCTGATGCCAATTGGTTTTATGTTTTGTATCTAATTGCAATGAAATTCAGACATTTTTGTGTGACTTAAGTGTTTAAAAATGTTTATAGTATATACATATTTAGCATTTTTTCTAAACTATAAATATTCCTTCCATTCTACAATAAAGGTATCACCACATCAGCTTGCATTGGGCATCAGAATTCTCATTTTTGGTGGACTATTTCTTTAATTCACAGGGGTAACGTCTTTATGTCATCTGTAGCTGCAGTAAGAAATACCTCAATACACATAGGATGCCTTAGAGAGAGGACGCCTTTTTTAATCTGCCATGTGACTGCCCTCTGGTGTCCTGAGAGGCTGTGGGAATGCAGACATCTCCCCTGCTGTACGCCTTAATGCCTGGGGGGCACATGAACACCGGGGCCTCTGGCAGCTGGAGCTGAGAGAGACTCAGATGCAGTCACTCTGGGACAAGAGAAGCCAGAGCGATGAGACAAGGGTAAGACACCTTGAGAGGAAACTGGCAGAGAGGAAGAGAGAAGCCAGAGTATTCACCAGACGCACAGACAAACATATTTAAAGACAAGATGCATTTGTCATAGAAACATATGGATGTACAGTGTTTACATGATGTAGATGTAAGTATAGAGTGACCCATATTAAGCAGTGGAGATGGAAAAATAATGCAAATATTTAAAATAAGATGCTGAAAGACTCACCACATTGTCGTCCTCGCCATTTTCACTCACTTTCAGGAATAGTTAAGCCCCAAAATAAAATAAAATAAAACAAAACAAAACACAGAACTGGGGGACTGGAGTTTCTGAACAAAAATCACCATAAAAGTACATAGCTTTCTGACCCACTTTTTATTTTTGTTTATTTTTTCATATAGTATTTAAGTATTTTAGTAATTGTTTCTGAATTAGATTTTATTTTTGTATTTTCTGGTTTCACAGTTATATATATATATATTTTTTTTATATTATTTTATTAGTTATTTTGACATTTTATTAGTTATTTAGCTAAATTTAGAAAAGGTAATTACGACTTTTTATCTCACAATTCTGAGTTTTTTTCTCGCAATTGCGCGTTTATATCACACAATACTGACTTTATAACTCACAGAAAAGTCAGAATTGCGAGATAAAAAGTCGTAATTACCTTTTCTACATTTTGTATTCAGTGGCGGAAACAGGCTTCCATAGATAGCTTCCCATTTTCTTTCTAAAAGATCATTAATTATTTCTGAGAAATTGCACAACTTAATATAGGCTCATTTCTTTATGAATCAACCACTAGAGGGAGGAAAAGACTTAATTCAATGACACAGAAACATGTAAACACATATTTCCTTGTATCTTGTATGCCCATGCAAGCAAGCCTTTAAGACAAAAGTCTTTTGACTACCAACTATCTTCAGGCCAAATACACATTTATGTCAACTCTGGCCTACTGAAGAGGAGAAAAACACGTGAAAACAGAGGTAATTTCTGCTCAAAACCTGAGACACATAAAAAATATGCTGGAAGGGGGGGGGAAAAATTGTAATTGTAAACTGTATCTACTCAACATTTAGGCAGTGGGCCAGAAGGCCCAGAAATCCTTACATTAATAGGCTTACTAGCTTTGACAAATGTTGTATCTTCATGAAATTATGTGATTGCCTTCTGCTGGGCATCTTACTGGATACAGTTAGGCTGCAGATATGCACTAGGACATCCGATATTACAGTATCTCCAATAAGAATCCACTAGAGTCATATCACTGTAGGTAAACAGATGGAGCTGCAGTTTTGCCTGAAGTATTAGATGCCACGTTGAATTCACTTCTCTCTTTTGCATGATATAATGCAAACCCAGCTAGTAAATGTGAAAAAGTAGACCAAATAGTTACAAAAATGCTGAAATACTGATTTCAAATGTCAAATCACTCTGACTTGGTATGAATTAAAAATGTTATTTTACAGCAATTTAGGACTGATTTCTTTTTGTGATTTTTTTTCGGGGGTGGGGGGGTCGGGGGGTGATGAGATATCCACAACTCTGGTTTAAACGAGTATAAAGACAGTGTTATCGGTCATAACTTTGGAGAGAAATAGCGCAGACACTGAACTGTATGCATGCGTACAGCACGCCAGTAGCGCTTCAACGGACAAAAACACGCACACAATTATGTAAAAATGTGCGGTTTTGGCGAGTGACCACGTTCTTAAATGAGTTATAAAGTCCTAAATGACCAAGAGTTGGGAGAAAACCGGATGTGTCTCAGACCACATCATGTGCGTCAGGTTTTAAAGAGACAGCGCTGCTTTTAAAGAGAAACCTGCTGCAGTCTTGGCATTGATGGAAATCAAAGAACAAAAGAAAATCAGAAATCACTCGACTGCTCTAGTCGCTTATTAACTTTTGTAGCTTGAATAAAGATTAATCTATATAGTTTATGCATATACAATTTTTAGTTTGTGAAGATTAAGTTCACTTAAATTAATAGTTGTTATATTTGTCAGAGCCTATTAAATGTTAAAAATAATGGCTTTCTATTATACTGTAATGTTGAATGGCTATAATTAATAGCTAAAATTGAGGGAAAAATGCATTTAATAGAGACATCAGTCGCAGTATCAGTGATACTGGCCTTCAATAATAATAGGCTACCGAGTAAAAAGATGCCCTTAAAAACATATTTAAAATATATACCATCTTTATGTTGTTTCTACATTAATTTGGCGGTTCAGTGTGAAATTATGACAATATAAATATATTAATATGCGATTAATCACGAATAATTACAGAAAAATGTGTGATTAATTCGTTTTTTTTTTAATCGACAGACAGCACTAATGTTAACCTTTTATAGATGTTGGTGTTGGTAATATTAGTTCATTTTACTGTTGAATATGCATTTCAATTTAATTGCACATTTTATAGGCCCCCCAGAAAGAGATCGGGATGGCCCCCCGCCCCCTTTAAATTTTCAATTCAATAATCCGGCCCTCAAATGAAGCTAACTGAATAGCCCTGATATAAAGTGTTAAAACAGGTAATTAAAATGGCAACGACAGGTGTGTAAAACATAACTTTTTGTTCTTACGTCGCTCTCAAATAAATCGCAGCATACACACACTACTGTTCAATTGGTCGGGGTCGGTAAGATGTTTTAAAGTCTCTGATGCTAACACCAAGGCTACATTTATTTGATCAAAAATACAGCAAAATCAGTCATATTGTGAAACAGAAAAATTGTGAAAAAGTTTTATATTTGCATTTAATGTCTTTATTGTGACTTGGGACAATTTAATGCATCCTTGCCAAATAAAAGCATTCATTTCTTGACCCCAAACTTTTGAACAATAGTGTATACATAAACACACTTCATACACTAAGTGTCATCAAATGTAATCTCATAAAATAAGACGGAGTTATAAATACTGTCTAATTTTACCAGACATGAGCAAAAAACAGACAACGTGCAAATGTAAAGACAAAAATAATGCATCAGAGGCAGCTGTGTTTAGAACATGTAAAGTTTGTCAAAACATATAAGACATGGACATACGGTCAGCAATGGGAACATTGTGATAATCTACAACATAATTAAATGTCTAGTGTACTTTATGTATAACTGTATATCAACACTGACTTTTAGTGCTTTCTGTAGTAAAAGTGTTGTATTATCAAAGCATGAAATTCAATTTAAATTCTAAATAAATAGAATGTTTGTTCCAATATTGAAACCAGACAAAAATAGGCACAGGCTTCGTCCTATGATTGCTTTAGAAAAAAAAAAGAAAAAAAAAAGGTTCAGCTTCAGAAGTCTGTAGCAGCTCATTCAACCAGGACAGAAGAGTTCCTTGACCACCCACAAAAAGAACACAGAGTGAAAGAGAAAATCCTAAGTGTGTATTAGGGACTACAGCCATCAGTCAGTGATTCCTCTATGTCCAGTCTGTGAGGTAGAGCTGCAGTACATCAGTCAGTTCGTCAGTCACTGGCATGGCTTCTGATGGAACGGATGCCACAGAGGTTCACTTCTCAGTTCAGTACCTGCGTCCTCAGGTAGAGTTCCACACCCTTTGCTCAGGTTCATAGCTCATCATGGTTCCTAGTAAGGTCTTCGCCATAGTTGGTGGCCTGGCTGCCTACAAACATGTTCCAGTTCTCAAGAATCTCTTCTTTGGTCAGCATCTGGTCCTAAAAAAATTTAACATTCCACCCATATGACAAATGTGTTTTGCTGGTTATATTCCTCATTTGTAAGACACTTGGGATAAAAGTGTCTGCTAAATGAATAGATGTAAATGTAATGAGTGTTTGCAATATTTGTAGTCCTCTAGTCCTTTATTGAACTCATGACAAAGCTGCTAAGTCCAAAAGAAACTGACAGCTCTGGTCCTGATGATAAACATTTTTTATTCTGTGTGTTCACACAAAACATGTTAAACTCATGTCATAAAATTACTAGTAAAATTTGCTTTTCTACTAAAGGTAGCACATTAATAATTCACACGAGCAACAGACACACACAACCACCAAAATGTTGAAATTACCTTTAAATAATTGGAAATATACAAGGCTACAATTATTTTAAAACACTGTAGCTGTATGCACAATGTACACAATGCTATTATGTTTAATAACTAAATCTAATATCTAATATCACATATGTCCTGCAACATTAAATTACAGAAATTATGCAAACTAATTGTCCTTAAAATTACTGATCAATTAACTTTTTTTTTTAATATAAATACAATACCATTCAAAAGTTTAGGGTGGGTTTTTTTTATGTTTTGAAAGAAGTGCTCACCATGGCTGCACTTATTTTTTGAAAAATACAGTAAAAAGATTAAAACTGTGAAATATTATAACAATTTAAAATAAGAGTTTTCTGTTATAATATATTTTGAAATGTAATTTATTCCTGTGATGGCAAAGCTGAATTTTCAGCATCGTTCCTCCAGTCTTCAGTGTCACATTATCCTTCAGAAATCAGTCTAATATGCTGATTTTCTGCTAAAGAATGTTCAAAAAAGTTGTGCTGCTTAATAGTGGTCGACCGATATATCGCCAAGGCCGATATATTGGCCGATATTTGGCATTTTTCAAATATCGGCATTGGCCGATAAGTTTTTCTGTTTGGCCGATACTTTCGAGGCGTTCTTTTATTTTGACGGTGCGCCAGACTTTTATTTTGACGGCGCTGAGAGCGGCTGCGCTTGAGCACACAGTGCTCACATTCTCCCTCTTGTTCGCCGTCGTCGTTAACAGTTCTGTCTAATACGGATAGAAGTCTGTCTAATAATCAGATAGAGCTGTTAAACAAAGGAATTTGTTTACATTATAATACTTTCTTGTTTGCCGTTAGCATTCAGCAAATACACATTTACATAATTTAAACAAATCTTTGAATGGCTAATGAAAATTTAATTTCACAAACCTTGCAAACTTAGTGGAATCCAGTTGTGAGATCATGTGAAGTGTGCATGTGACCTGCATGATCGCATGTTCTCTGCATGACTTTCGGTCCGTGCAAATTGAATGCTTTAAACATTAAATTCGTGATTTCAAATTATATCATATGACCCCTTTAATTAAAATAAATACAATTATATCGGCTTTATATCGGCCATCGGTCACCGGCCACCCTGCTTTCCAAGATATGGGCATCGGCATCGGCAGTCAAAAAAACTATATCGGTCCACCACTACTGCTGAATATTTTTGTGGAAACTGTGATTTTTCAGGATTCTTTGATGAACAGACAAAAAAGCATTTATTTGACATTTATTTTATAACAGTGTTAATGCCTTTACTGTAACTTTTGATCAAAATAATGTGTCACTGCTGATTAAAAATATTAATTTCTTTAAAAATACAAATAAATTGCACTGATTACAAACTTTGGTAGTGGTAATGGTAGTGTGTATCAAATAAATTAATATATTTAAATAAATTAATTCTTATTGTATTTTTCTCCCAGTTAATTTTTAGTATGCATTTAATTGTTTAAATTACCATTAATGTATTATACCACCAATACTAAAATTCTGGAGATATTCCTGGACAGCATGACAGTAGGTTCTCACCTCGTCTGTGTCCGACTCGTACACCAGATGCCGAGCCTCTGCCTGCGCGTGGTCATAGTCCTGCGGCAGGATCCAGTGACGAATCTCTTCTAAGTCCATCTTCCCATCTTTATTCAGATCTCGGAAATCTGAAAACTGGTCTCTCTCTGTTCTAACCCAGTCTGGCTCTGGGCCGCCATCTTCATGAGCAAACATGTCCGCTGGAAAATAGCAAAAGGTCTAAAAATGTTTTCCCTTGGATACAGAACATTAAAAGGATAGTTCACCCCAAAAACGTCGATTTTGTCAAGAGTTTCAGTGTCTAAACCTCACAAAAAAAGTGATCTGTAATACATTCTCTGTCCTTCAGACAAAAATACAGATAAACCTACCAATGTATTCGTCCTCATCTACATGACCATCCCCATTCTTGTCAATGTCCTCCAGAGTTTCCTGGTAGAATAAAGAAACTGGGAATGAGATGAATCAGTTACTTTATGAAAAACTAGCATGATGGTGATTTTCAATAGTCTGCATAATTAAAGTGACAGTAAGCACCACTGTCTAAAATTCAAACCCCATAATCCACCCGACACTCACAAGAACCACAATTTCCTGCATCTGCTCAAACTCCTCTGGGTGGAGGAAAGCAGTGAACTCCTCTCGCTCTGCAGCTAAATCGCCATTGAGATCTGCAGCCTTAAACCTACGTTCATCTCGCGGAAGCATCTTCTTGAAGCTGAACTGATCTGTTGCATCCTCAAACTCTTCTGGATTGGCTGGGAGAAGAGTAGATGTTGAATCTCATGTAGGCGGCTATCACGAAAACACTTCATCAATATTAAAACCTTCGATAGTTTCAGAAACGAGTGACTCACCAAGGTAGTGACCGTACGTTGCTTGCTTAAATTCATCCCATGAGATCTTGTTGTCTTTGTTCAGGTCATAGTCAGACCAGACCTTTGCGACGTTCTCATAGACGTAACGCTTCTGTACTCTCTTGATCCAGGCCTTGAGTTCATCAGTGGTGATATAACCATCAACATTGCTGTCAATACGATCAACTATTTTCCTAAGGAATTTAGAAGTGCAAAGAAAGAATAGAGTGAATAAAGTAGAAACTTACAGAGAATAAATATTAGAATGGACACTGAGGTTGAGTTTTCTCAGACACATTTCTAGCTTTTCACCTCAAACATGGTGGATCGATCCAATTCGTATGAAAATAGAGATACAGCACCCCAAAAATCGAAGGAAAAAAAGAGGAAAAGCAAGAAATGTGTATGCATGTGTGTGTGTATAATACTATAATCGAAAATTTTATAGTATTATTATCAGTAACCGGTTAATTTCCAGCATAAAGGTGAACATATTTAAACAGGTATTTGCTATGGATGTTTTTATTTTATTATTTTTTAATAATTTGCATTATTCAGTGGTGTTTATTACGCAGTGGTGACTCTCATTGTTGCAATATTACCTTGATAATATCTCAAATAAAATGCATATATTATATATAACATTTTAAAACGTTCTAAATATGCCGTTTTTATATTAAAAATATTAAAAAAATGATTTATCTATATTTGCATTTCATTTTTTCCTTATTTCTTCAATTTCTCATTTCTTTACGCTTATTTTCGATTGAAATACGACCCAGAAATGTTCTTGACAGAAACTAGACTCCAAGTGACTAGAAGATTGTCAACAGCACATTATTTTGATCTCTGATGCCACGTTGTGATGTTAAGAGAGCCCTCCCACTCACAGGACTGGAGAGGGAGCTCTTCGTGCCTACGTCCCCATCTCAGGGTGAGCTGGAAAACTTGTTACATTGGCAAGAATAGAGATAATCCCTGATATCCAACACCAAACTGTTAATTAACATGACAGTGTGTGTGTGTATATATATATATATATATA